AAAAAATAATTTTATTGGGGGCTCTTACAGCTCTTATAATATTTCATACATCCATTGTATCAAACATATTTGTACATATGTTGTCATCATCATTTCTAAAACATTTTCTACTTGAGCCTTTGGTATCAGCTCCTCTTTTTTCCCCTCCCTTCCCCACCCAATTCTGCTGACTTCAATCCTGGCAGAAAGTTTGTTTTCTGGATGAATAAATATCAGTAAATCAGACAATTTTGGACTAAGAAGCTACATGTGTCCTAAGCTGTTAAATTTGGAGTGACGTTCAATGCTCAACCTCGGTAATTATCATCACTCCAGGAATAGCTGGTGTTTTCATTGTTTTAAAACACAATGTTTGGCTCTCTGGCTCCCCTCTCTACCCTCTCCTCTCCCGTCCCCTCTCCCTTGTTCCCTTGCCCTCCTTCCCTTCCCCCTCTCTCCACGTGGACCACCAACCTGGGCTGAGTTGGACACCAAATAAGGAGGCCTGAAGAAGACCTGATGTGCGTGAATTGTGACCTGGCGAAGAAAACGGAAAGTCCCAGGGCTTGCCCAAAGGACAGACACGCTTTCCTGGGAAGAAGTATGACCAGAGTGCTCCTTAGCGGCAGGGATGGCCACACGTCATCGTCTGTACTGTGGGCGTGTGGCCAGGAGAGAACAGTCCGGGGAGACCACGGTGCTTGGTAAAACAGAGGGGCAGCGGCAAACAGGAAGGTCTCTGACAAGGATTGGGTGTGGGCTCCAGCACGGGAGCGATCGTGAGGCTGGCGCAGCACAGGGCGTGTTTTGCTCTGGTGCCCAGGGTCGCTGTGAGGTGGAGCCAACTGCGTGGCACCCAACACGAACAACAACCTGGCTATTTGGCGGAACTGCACAGACTCTCCAACGTGGAAGCCCTGAGGGTGCTGTTGGGTACACACTGGACTGCGAACCAGAAGTTGGGCAGATCCAATCCACCAGCTGCTCAGGGGAGGAAAGCTCGGTTATCTGTTCCTGTAAAGGTTGACCGTCTCAGACCCGCTGTAGGGCCCACTATGAGTGGGAATGGCTCCAGCGGGCTCTCAGTGAAGAGCCACATCAAGCAGTTCATTGCACGGAAGTTGCCCAACAAAACTTGCTTCCCTGCGGGGTGTACTGTCACCATGGGGGGAATTCCTCAGCAGGGCTTTCCTTTTCCTCCACGCAGTTGCACGTTTGTTACAGCCCGCCTGTGATTGTCCTGTACCTTCAAGGAACTCTATCAGGACTGCCGACCCCTCCCTCTAAAAAACAAAACATGAAAAACCAGGAGGTGATACCAAGGGCTTACACAGAAAGAAACGATTTTGAAAATGATGACGGCAACATATGTACAAATGTGCTTGATACAATTAATGTATGGGTTGTTATAAAAGCGGTAAGAGCCCCCAATAAAATGATTTAAAAAAAACAACGGAAAACCCCACGATGTTTGACCTGCCCTTCGCATCTGTGACCCTCACAGCTGTTTCCGCCACATGGACAGGCAGAGGGCATCGAATACAGAGCTCACCGGAAGGAAGTCAAGAGAAATGCTGGAGAGGAAATGGAATCTGGTAGTATCATTGGAATTGCTGAAGTTATGCCTGAAGCAATCCCCCTTTTCCCTCCTCATTACGTAAGCCAGTAGATTCCCTGTGGGCTTTAATTATTCATATTAAATTTTCATTCATTTAAAAGTTCTAAGAAAATTTTTTAAATCAACATAATCTGACAAGCACCATCATGTCTGTCATTCATTTTCTTGAAAAGGCACACAAAAAATTCATAGAGGCACAGCTCTATGAATGAACTAAATCAAGTAGAAATTTGAGCGTTGTGTTTAAATCCTATCAAGTAAAAGTGTGTTGCAAATGTAAATTATTTCAAAAGAAAATAAGTCTTTAATGTTGATCGACAAAACAGGGAATCTTGTCATGGAACGTAAGCCATCAAAGCAAGAGGAGCTTCACAGCACTCCACACAGAAACACACAGTGCTCTCCGTGCAAGCCTGCCACGTACCTGCCGGGCCAAATCAGTCTCAAGATGAAAGTTTGGAGCTTCCTAAAAGGAGATAAACCATAAGTAATTTTACTTCTCTGGCGTTTATTCAGATGATGTTAGCCACCTGGCTGGTAGTACATAGGATTTTTCACAAGAGAATTGTCCCTGACTTTGATGGAGGCAGAAGACACCCCTCAGAGCCCGATGTCCTTGCTCCTGAAGTCCAGGCGGCTGCAGAGACCTGTGGGAACGAGCAGCTCCTGGGGCTTACGCGTTGGCAAAAGTTCAAAGTGGCTTGTTGGCACTGACGCACACTGTGCCCGGAGGGTGCCAGGTCTAAGATGTTCACCCTCAGTTTCTCCAAAAAGAAAGGGGCCATGTCTAAGCCCTAAAGAGTCACGTTAGCTCCATGAAACGACAGAGCCAGCGGCTCTAGGGAGGCTCCTTTTAATGTTAGGTGTTCCAAGCTACCAGATTAACTGATGCTTCACCATAGGTGTTTCGTGAACCCAGGGGGATCTCACATTCCACCTACAGGGTTACCAGTCCCTCTGATCCGCAGTCAACCCTTGATGTGGTAGTTCACGGCCACTGAGCCGATTCTGACTCAGAGTGGCCCCTGGTGACAGAGAAGACCTGCTCCCGAGGACTTACAGGACCCGACCTGGTGCTCCTCCTCAGGAGCCACCAAGGGGATCCAACCACCAACGTTGAGGTGAGCAGCCAGGCATGTAACCATAGTGCCACCAGGATTCCTCAGTCAACCCTAAGACTCGCGAAACTGGGCTCCTGCTATGCCCTTCCGTGTTCACAGGCATGTGGCGCACACACAGCTAGTTTCCGTCACACACAACACAGGTGACCAGCTGCCTCCGTCACGCAGTGTAGAGAAGCTGAATATAGATTAAACCGAAGGCAAGGCTTTCGTCAATCAATAGGCACCCACGCAGGGACGCTGCTCCCCGATCAACCGGCTGATCTGCATCCATCCTAAAGAGGGGTTTTGTGTCTGTAACCCAACATCGTCGTGCTGCTAGGAGGAATCCGTAACAGAAGATGTCTAACCTCAGCCTACTGATAGTATGTGCAGTTGAATCGCCCTAAATAGGCTTTGATGCCTTCCTAAGGATATGGACTAAATGAATATTGATACTTACTCCTTTGTTTTAGAAATAAAATATACAATCCTAGAACCAGTAAACCAGACCCGCAAGGTTGTCTGTCTTTAAAAAGTCACAAAATACTTCCAATGGGCTGTATGGAAACCTTTAAATTTCCCCTCCCCCCCTCCAAAAAAATCACCATATAACCAGGAAGAATGCCTATCCTGGTTGCTTCAAAGATTGTAAAGCGCAATCTTTAAAAATAAATAAACAAATAAAATGGCAATTTTAAAATGGCTTTTTTCTTGACCTTTGGTTTTCTATTATTGTTTGCATTGAAGTAGGTAGAAGAAAAATGGAATGACCATTTACCAAAAAAAAAAAAAGAATCAAGTCTTTTTCTTCCACCTCAGTATCTTGCGGGCAGCGGGGTGGGCGTGGGGTGCGGGGCTGTCAGCTTTCTGAGTGGGCTGGTTGGGATCTGGGCTCAACGGGACAAGAGGATAGCATCTGTTAGGCGCCATGCTCTCTCCCAGTGTAGACTTGGAAGTTGTTTCTGCTTTTATTCAAAAAGTAAAAACTATGCACATTCAAAACTATTGATAAAGTAGAAATTTTAAATATGGATAATCCTATGGTCATTTGGCTCCTTGATGACATTTTGTTCAAACTCATATCCTGTAAAAATATTATGAATACTTCCTGCAACCGTTTTTTCGGGGGGAGGGATATATAGTTTAAATCAGTTTCTATATGTTATTTCCACAAACAGAAAGTCCACTTGGATGCGGACATCATTGGCTGTGGGGACGGGGTTATGCAGGCCGAGAACTCAATGGTATGCTCTAGTTTCTCTTTTGCTAAAATGTAGGGATCTTTTGTAGCAGACCCTGTGAAATCATTTGCTACAAGAACAACAGGGAAAATCCTTATCCTATCTGACAGCTTCAGGATCCTCTCGTGGGCCACTGACAGACGGCCAGCGAGCTCTCTCAGCGAACCTGCAAGTGTGTAAACGCCTTCCTTAAGAAATTCTTTCCTTTAATGTGGCAATTTAAACCTGTGGTGATTTATTCTTAAACCCAATGCTCTATACTTGTGTCCTCTGGTAAAAGCTGAGAGTGAAAAACAAACAAACACCACCAAAAACAACAGCCCTCCGATTTCTAGAGATGGGCTAGGGAAATGGGACTGCTTGGGCCTGTAGCCGAGTGGTAGATGACGGCTTGGCGATCATCATTTACCTCATGGGTCTCTAAATGCCCTACCTGATCTGCCCAGGGCTAGTCTGTGCTCTTTTTCTAAATGCTGCCTCCACCCGGCTGCCTCAGAGACAAACAGACTGGATGAGGGTTCATCGATTACTAATACCTCCAGACGTAGTTAGAAGGGGGGAAAATCTGGTGTTCTAACCAAGTATCACTCTTTGAAAAATTAATTGGGCTAGTTGCATAGTCTTAATTATTTACCGGCTCCATCATAAGTAAAAGAAACTTCCCTTTGCCAAAGCCTCGCTTCTCAAAAGCATCTTTTCATTGTAATGTGAATGGGGAAGAAAAAAAAGAAAGAAAGACAAACCCAGCATTAGAAATGTACTTTTAAAACACAAGCTGAACCAGCCTTGGGCTTGAAAACATTGGACAGGCTCCAGATGAACACAGCTCCTCTCAGTCAATGGAGCCTCCAGCCCCGGATTCTTTTACCCAGAAAAGCCCCCCCAACCCCATCCCGCAACCCCTGTTTAAAGGGCCCACGAATGGCATGCACCCAGGGAAAACAATCCGAGAACAAAAGCACCCACCGGGGTGCCTAGAGAGAAACACAAGGTCCCTTCGGGAGTTTCCCCTTGCAGTCAGGCTCCCTCAAGGCGGACGCCCACGTGCACGGCTCTTACCTTCATTTCGATCACCGTCTGCAGAGCCTTGGTCTTGGCGGGCTCCGGCTGCAGTTGGCTCCTCCGATGCAGTTCCTGCGGAGGAACACGACAGAAGTAAGCCTGCCGGTTCATGCTTCTGTTACACCATGCCCCTCACCCAGGTAGGCACCACACAGCGCACAGGCAGGATGGAGCCACAGGTGCTTGGTGCCTAGCTCCTCCTCTGCCGCCTCCTGCCTGAGCCTGAGTGCGGGTGGAAAGCGCCCGGCACATGCGCTATTTCTGAAACGTGCATCAATAATGAATGTCAACTGTGACAGAGCCGGCAAGTCATCGTGGTCCAAGTACTGTTCGGCACCGGGGCTGATGCCCAGCCTCAAATCATAATTTACTAAAGTCCATTCCTTGGCACTCCCAACGCCGGCAGAGCAGGGAAGGGGAGGGGAGGGACAGTGACTAACTAACGCGGTGGCAAATCCTCTGCAGGCTTCCCAGGCAGGTTTGCAATCGGCGATTCCAAACCTTTTCAGGATAACGGTGTCACTATGGAACCCTGCGGAGGAATCTCTGCCTTCCTAATTCACAGTTTCGGTCCTTGTTCAAAATCGCATCAGTGTGCGATATGTTCATGGCCGTGTGGCTCCAAGAACTTGCAAGGGGCATGAATATGAAGGTGCTCAAGTGGTTAAGGCCACATGTGGTCCCAAGTGCATCCAGAATGCGCTGGGCATTTCTTTCAGTAAAAGGAGCACGGGACAATGACCGTTTCGAACTTGGTTCTAAGGAGACTTTGAAAAGTGGTCTTGGCAGAAGAGAAGAGAAGGGGCAACTGTTATTGGAGCGCGCTGTGGTGTTTACTCAGTGTTCCATTTAAGGAGGCAGCCAATGACGGCAGTGAAGGGAACGGCTCCCGCACCATCCACACTGGCTGCACCTCACCCAAAGAGTCATGCCCTTAGAACCTAGAAAACCCACTGTACGTTCATCACGGCACAGGTGACCGCCAACAGGGCAGGCCACCATCCGGCACATATTTGTGTAAAAAACAAATAATACATTTAATCAGAGGTAGAGAAAAGGACCACCGTAATTTCCAATCTTTTTTTCCAAGTAAGGACATTTTAAAACAACTCTTATCTCCATCATGACCATCGATTCTCAGTCCCATTCACAAAAAAGGGATATGCTGACATAGCAAATATCAGGGGTGGGGTGGGGGATAGAATCCCACAATAAAGGATAGACCTTCTTAGGAAAACAGTCTGTAAGCTTTTGCCCATGGCCCATTATTATGTTTTTCTTTAGTCTGCCAATTGCCCAGAAAGTCCTGGTCCTGCCTCCAGGGGCCATGCCCAGAGGCCAAACCAGGGCATCACCACCTGGACAGGAGGGCAGGGGGAGGTGGACAGGGTCCAAGAAACATCTTTTCTTCTTAAGAGTCTTCACTGGGGCACAGCAACACAACTATGAGAAATAACTTCTCAACCCGATTCTAGAAATGTGCTTCTTTTTGCTTATGAGAATTCTCCCATAGGACGTAGGCCATTTCCCCCACGAATAGACCCTTGTGAGGGAAGGAGCCCAATACTATTGAGTCTGAGTGATGCATTCTCAAGCCAAAATGTCACTGCCATCGAGTCTGTGCTGACGCAAGGTGACTCCATGGGGCAGGGGAGAGCTACAGTCTTGGGAACTCAGGAGAAGAGCCCACTGTCTCTCTGGAAGGGCTGGAGGTTTCAAACAGCTGACCTTGCAGTTAGCTAACAGCCCTGCTGGTAATCAGGTGCCACCAGGGATCCTTGACTTATGACTAGAGAAACAGAAAGAGACCCATCCAACTGAAGAACATTTAGTTCTTACATCATGCTCGATACTCACCTTCAGGAAGAGATCACTGAAGATAAGGGTGCTACAGCAAAGTGTGGTAAAGAAAGCAGATGGTGTCTGGCTATCAATTGGAATAGTGTCCGGAGTCTTAAAGGCTTGTATTCAAGCAAGCAGACATCTAAGCAAGGAATCAGCCAAATCCACACAGAAGGAGCACACCAGCTTGTGTGATCCAACGGTGACAATTGTAAAATTCAAATATGGCAAGGGGAAAGCTACCAGACCTAAAATTATGAATACCACTTTGTGGAAGCTATGGAGGACAGTGGGAGCCCAAAACCCATCTGCAGAGCATCTAGTCAGACCGAGCTGCTGGCAGGTCCACTCTAGCCACGGCAAGAGTCCCAAGTAGCCTCACTACCAGTCAGAGACCATGCAATCCTGACTGTGGGGGATTGAACTTGGTAGCAGGCAGTTGTCCTCCCTATACACAGGACCTGAATTAGTACTAGGTGCAAGTCTCTCTTAGATGTCCCATGACAGAAATTTCTTCCCTGGCTTTTTGAATGTTAGTGGGGGTCTTCTACCTCTTACATATCATTTGTGTCTTTGCCTTTATACTAATGCAACCTTATCCCTCCACCTCAGTGCGATTTGCCTTGCACTGTTTTCTGTTGGGTTTCCCAGCTGTGAAGCCCAGGAGGACTGGGTGGGAATAACTGATACAAGGTGTGGTAGGGAATGCAGGGGGGGCGGTGGGCAATGGGGAGGGAAGGGGGATTTCGGGAATGGACAGTGAGGGCGACAGGAGGGAGGATTAGAACTGACAGTGATTGCACAGCTCAGTTGGAAGGTGGTGTGACCTTGACGAGGAGGGGTAGGAGGCTCTAAGAGCGATGAGGTGGTGATTGTACAACTCACCTTGGTGTGACTGAACGGCTGAACCATTCAATTGTTGATGTGTGAATTTTGTGCCAATAAACTGTTGGGGAGGGGGGGGTGAGAGAATCCTTGTCCTTTTCTGAGCACTGGCCACAGCGGTCATCCTAGATAGGGCTCCCTAGATATGGCTGAAATGTTCTGAACAGATCCTGGTCTGTTGCTCATCTGACAGATTGGCCTTGCAAGTAGCTGTCATTTATTGGGTTTCTAATTGACACTGTATCTTTCACACCACATCATTCGCCTGTGGGGTGGTGAGTCCAGTGGGGGTGCTGGTAAACCTCTAACAGGGGGCACCGACCACGGCCAACTTCAAAATGTACAGTAGACCTCACTGTAGAGTATGGCTCTCAACCTTCCTCATGCCTTGACCCTTTCATGCAGTTCCTCACGTGGTGGTGACCCCCAACCATAAAACTACTTTCGTTGCTACTTCATCACTGCAATTTTGCTACTGTTATGAACCGTCCTGTAAATATCTGATACGCAGGATGTATTTTCACTGTTACAAATTGAACATAATGAAAGCATAATGGTTAATCACAAAAAATTATGAAATTCTATATTGTGAAATATATATTTCTAATGACAAATAAGTGAAATTTTGTCTTGAAGCATGGTGTAGCATGGGTAACAGTCTTAATATAATGACAGTAAACTCCATTGCTACATTTTGCAACAGTCTGAATAAAAAGCCAACGTCAGTGTGAAGGTTGAGATAGCTTCTTTCTCACCAGATCAGCATATCTGCATGTGGGTGGACCCGCCTGGAGACGGATAGAGGACCATGGGAAATATGTGTTTTCCGATGGTCTTAGGGGACCCCTGTGAAAGGGTCATTTGACCCCCAAAGGGGTCACGACTCATGGGTTGAGAACAGCTAATCCAGACACAAACATGTAAATGGCCTCGAGATAATAGCAAACTGTAGTGACAAAAACTAGGAAGGGCTGGATTGTAATATAATTTAATCATTAATTTGTCTATTTTATTTGTTAAACTCACCAGTAAGGCCAACCGCTGACATCCCATTTCATAGGGAAGGCACACTACGGAGCCAGCACACTGTTAGTTGAGTGACGCACCAAGGGTTGCAGCCTCCCCCAAAGCTACTTAGTTCTCACATTGTGAGGATATTAACTGAGGGTTCTTAGGGTTTTTACCATGTCCTGCTACAGAAGAAAAAGGGAGAGGAAGTGTTAGAGCTGCCCCATAGAAGGAAACCTTCCCACACGCTCCTCATTCTGACTGCAGACAGCACCCAATAGCCTCCTAACAGGAAAAGGTGAGAAGGAGATTCTTGACCATTTCATGTCCTAGTCAATTCCCATCTTAGAATAAAAGGCAGAAGACAATTTGAGAAGATGGCTTAGGTGTGTACAGAGCAAATAAAAACAACCGAGGAGCAATGAAAGAGCACAGTGAAAATAAAGACCAAAGGGTAAAAGGTACGTGCCCTGCGATTTCAGCTAAGCACGAAAATACTTTTAGGGGTAAACATGCAATAAAAATAAATACACTTGTTACAAAAGTTTCATAAAAATGCACCCAGAATTCTCATTGCTATAATTACACAAATTCTATTATAATATAAACCAGCTCAAAACCCAACTTCTCGTAGACCACTCCCTGAATAGAATCAAATTGCAATTACCCAAGAATTGTAATTTTCACATCAAATGCTAATATTTTTTTTTCTGGCTGCATAGTTTCTGAGGATCACTTCAGAGTCTAACATGCCAGTTGAGGAATGGAATTTGCCAGGAGACTCCCGGGACATCTGAGAAGCCCTTCCGGGACAGTTTACTGACTCTGAGATGTAGCGCGTGGAGAGGATCAGCTGTCCTCTACAGAACGCTCCTCACGAGAGGGTCCAGCAGGTGCTGGCAAGGCCTGGAATTGATCTGGGGTCATGTGACTTGCTTCTGGTCCGTGCCATGTGGATAGAAATGAGGGCCTGGCCTTTCAAGCGTGGCCCATTATAAACCTTATCCCCAACTGGCTCCGTTAGCTGGTGTTGTTATGACAGAAACCCCATGCAAGAGTGGACCTCCCCTAACAGGCTCATCTCTCTCCTTTGGAGCAGCTAGCGGATAAAGCCCAGTGCTCAACTCCTTGTGACACAAGGGCTCCTCAGCCGTAGGCATCAAAAAGTAAAACTGGAACCAGTCGCTGGCATGGGGGCAATTGGCATTCATACGGAAGCTACGGGGCAGAACACAAGTGCGCATTTGGGGGCCCAAGACTAAATCTTTTCGGAAGTAGAAAGTCTCATCTTTATCCTGTAAAGCCACTGGTGGCTTCTCATGACTGGCCTTACCGTT